GTGCAGGGTCCCATCACCACCCAGATCCTGACTGTGATCCCGGCACTCGGGGGACCCAAGACTCAGATCCCCAGCTACACTGAGAGTTCCGGGCCAGCCTGGACTACTTACGACTATAAACAAAAACAAAATACAACACTTATTACAGGACTCACCCATTATTGCCAAGTCGCATCCACCCGCGGACTCCACACCAAAAATCCCAGAATGGGACGTCATTATTTCAAACGTCAATAAAACAGGAAGTGTTTTCGGCCCTCTCCTAGCGATGTGAGCCTGGCATAGTTGTTGATATTAATTCCAGCACTTGCCTCCAGGAAGGAGTTCAATGCCACCCTTGACTACCTGCCAAGTTTGAGGCCAGTCTGGACTATATGAGTGTGCGTAGAAAATCAAGTTATAACTCCCATTCCAATTATTTAGTGGCTAATTCATCCTCCATGACCCTTCTCAATTAATTTCACGTATTTTTAAATAGCAAGACTCTTGTCTCCTGTGGTCTTGACTCCTTATAGGACAGCATATGAATAATTACATTTTTATAAAGAATTAAGTTCAAGAGCTGGAGAGATGACTCAGCAGGTCACCCCCCCCCCCCAAGTGTTTGATGATTGGTGTTTTGCCTGCCTGTGTGTCTGTGTCAGAAGCCCTGGAACTAGAGTTACAGACAGGAGTGAGCCGCTATGTGGGTGCTGGGATTTGAACCCAGGTCTTCTGGAAGAGCAACCAGTGCTCTTACCCACTGCCCCACCCATCTTTCCAACCCTGCAGGTCCATCTTCGAAGCACTTGCTGATTTGACAGAGGGCCAGGGTTCAGTTCCCAGCCCCACATGGTGGCTTACAACCATCTTTAATTTCAGTTCCAGGGGATCCACCACCCTCTTCTGACATCCAAGGGCACCAGGCAAATGTACTGTACACATACATACATACATACAAGCAAAACTCATACACATAAAATTTAGAAATCTAAAAATCAAAAATCATAACCTCAGACAGAATAATATTTACATTTTCAGGGTGTTTTTTTTGTTTTGTTTTGTTTTGTTTTGGAGACTGGGTCTCTTGTATGCCCACACACTATCCTCCTGCCTCGACCTCCAGAGTGTTGGGATTACAGGCGTGCACCACCTGCCCTGGCTGACTTATGCTGGGAATCAAACCCATGGCCTCATGCTGGCAACCTGTGCCGAACTACACCCCAGTCCAAAGTTATACCTTTAACACTAGAAATACAGAATACATTTTACAACAAAGAAAAATACACAAGACTGAAATGGACCAGCTATCCATTCTTTTTGGTTTGGTTTTTATAGCCCTGGCTGTCCTGGACCTGTCTCTGTAGATGGTGCTGGCCTCAGACACAAAGAGATTTGACTGCCTCTGCTTCCTGAGTGCTGGGATTAAAGGGGTGGCCACCACTGCCCAGCATCCAACTATCCATTCTTGATGTGTGTGGAAACTCTGTGACAGAAAATTACATCATCTTAATCTAATCGTTCAAACCACCAAAGTATTTCTTCTGTGTCATTTTGCCTGAGAATTCATCTAGAAGCATTAGTATATCCAAGCCATTTTTATCCAATTTTTGATCAAACCGAATCTGTCAGTTTTTAATGGTATCCATAGCTTTTCTTCTCTTTTGGAAACAAAAGCAAAACCCCTTCCCCAACATAACATGTCTTGAACAGGCCTGGAATCAAGAACAGAAGTGTAAATATCAAAACATCTGAGATCATGGGGTGGTGTCACAGAGGAAGCAGGCACAGGACTTTGAAGTCCAGCAGGAGGGCCCAGGGTTGTAATATATATGCCACGACACCTCTACATCGCATGGTGCCCACTCTCACTCTGCAGCCTTAGCTGACTAGAGGGGTTGTTTGTGAAAGATTTTGTGTTGTTGCGGCTAGCTTCCTCAATTTCTGTGTTTTAGATTGCACGCCTGAACAGAAAGATCTTTCATCTAACCCCACGCACCCATGAGGCCCGTGCATGTCTATCTCCACCTTTCAGCCTCTTGTTAGAGTGTGAAAGATAAGAAGACAGTTCAAAGAGCCAGTTTTACAAGCAAATTACTTTAGGAATTCTATGACTAATTTCTCATGGAGCCACCTCATGGCCATATAAAACACACATTCAAGGTCAGTCAACCAAATAAAAAGATGGCATCTTTCAAGAACCCTTGTCTTCACTAAACATTCACAAAGCTTCCATGACTGACACAGATGCTGTCTGCTATTCAGGCAAGATGAATGGTTTACACAAAAGCTTTCATTTTGGGCTGGGATGTGTGGTTCAGTGGTAGAGTACAGGGCCCCAGATTCACCTCTAGAACCCTTGGAAAATGCTGTCTTTCTTCTTGAGACCACAACTCACCCCCAAGAGCAATGAGCCAGGCCTTACTGAGGGAAAGTCTTATAAGAGCTATGTCAACTGACGAACCAGTGGGTATGTGTTTAAAATATCTAAACAGATTTAAAAAAAAAAAAATCTGAAGAGAACACTGACTGACTTCTTCAAAAGCATTTGTGAGGGTATGTTATTATATATACTTAGCACAACTGAAGAGAAAAAAAGTCAGCTTGACACCACAAATAACTATCACCTTTATCAAATAAAAACAAAAACTTCATTTATTTGGCAATTTCCAGAATAATATACATAAAGATTCAATGTTGTATACAACAGATGTGTAACTAACCACACACACAAAATGAATATGCACTGAATTTTCAGAAAGAAAAGTTAAAATAAATAGCAACAATAAAACTTTGGAAAAAATAACACATTTCAGTTGTGGAAAATATGATTCTTAATTTTATACAGTTACATATGTACTAAAAGGCCATCTCCTCTTTTCAGATTGCACAATACTTGGGACCAGTCAAAGCATATTTTATGGCATGTGACACTATCGTCCCAGGCCTGTTTGTGATTCACTCCAGGATAAAAACACTTACATTCATACTAGAGCAGAAGATGTGCGGCGCTGTCTGCATCTGCGAGAGACTGCGTGCTCAGCTCACACTGACCTGCAGTAACCCTACAAAGGCTATACAGGAAATTTCACAAAAAGAAATCTCAAATAATTATTGCGCCCACTTCACGCTGAATCCAACAGCCAAAAATGGGCTTCTAAGTAAACATGGTTGTCACTGGATATTTTTAACACTTTAAGGATCTTTTCTTTGTCCTGGAGAACACTTTTTCCTTGATGACTAGCAATCTCAGCACAAGAAAAAGCCAGGTGAAATGAAGCTAGCTTTGGCTTTCCTCTCTCCTATGAGCAGAGCTATGCAGAGACAGGAGCTTAAGAGAAAAACTCTACCCTCAGTTCCCCTGTAAGCAGACCTCATCAGGAGGGTCACTACATTATTGAAAACCTTACTAATGCTCATTTAAAAGAAACAACAGTAGCAACATATCCATTTACATTATGGCACAGCCCTCAATTTTGAGAAAAATACATTTTAGGGAGCCAGAAAAATTGCACAAACCGTAGGAACAACCTGAAAACACCTTGGTGAAAAACACCAGTCTCTAGGGCAATAAAAAAATATGTGTGGGCTCAATACAAATATTTACATTCAGAACAGAAGCCATGGTAGCCATTCAGCTGCTCGACCCCAGCCAGTCACAGGTTATTTCACAGGTGTCCACAGTAACTGGACACTCGAATGCATAGACAGTAAGGATGCGCTTGCTTCTTCAGTCTGCCGCCCGTTACACTCAGCCGACGCTGTGAAAGCCCCCGCTACCACACGCCTGCGTCTTAACTGCTGCTGATCTCACTCATCTGCTCCACCACTTGTCCTAGAATCTCATCCACTACATCGACGTCATAGTTGACTTGCTGAAGATCCAGGTCAGGCACAATCATAGCAAGCAGCTGCCCTACATTGACTCGAAGAGAACGAAGCTTGAGGCTGCAAGTACAACAGGAACCGATTAGTGAGTATTGCAATATAAATGACTTCTCTTATAGGACTTAAAAATTAAAAGTGGAACTACAAAAGTCTCTGTAGAATGGTAGAGAATAAAAAGTAAATCCCCCTGCAAAACCGAATTTAATTCAATAACCAACTGATTCATCAGGTACTAGGTTAAATCCAAGTATATATAACGTTTCATAAAACTAGTTGCTCTTGAGACACCTGGACCAGACAACATGTAGGTTAGACATTATTTCTAATCTGCTGTCCCCCGGGAAGATAGCAGTATGCTAGCTAGTGAGAAACAACACTAAGAACTGAAACATGTAGATTAGACGTTGTTTCTAATGTGCTGTCCCCTGGGAAGATAGCAGTATGCTGGTGAGAAAGAACACCAAGAACTGACTCACTAAGCTCCAAATTACACATCCCTTAGAAGAAAATAATCTGAATTGCTCCTTAATTATGTTAGGCTAAACTGTCAAACTGGTACAGCCTAGGTCATCTGAGAGAAGCAGTAACAGCTCAGACAGGTCTGTAGGGTATCTAAAGCCCATGAGTCAGGATGGAAGCCAGCATCAGCCTTCGGCCTCACTGCCTGTCTCAAGCCCCCACTGACTCCTCTCTATGATGGATCACAACCTGGAAGCATAGGCCAAACAAACCCTTCCTCCCAAGGTTACTTTTGGTCATAGAAGAAGCCAATTGAGATAGGTTAATAATTGTCTTATTGCTCAGATTTATAGCTCTTACAGAGGACCTGTGTTCAGTTACCAGCACCCATGTAGCAAATAACCAAGATCCTGTATCAAAGAGAACAAAACTCACCACCACCACCACCACCAAAGCCCAAACCTGAATACACAGCTCTTACTTGGGGTTGGGTCATCATCCATTGCTTTCTCAGTTAATAGGACACACTAACAGTGTGTCCTGGGCCACTTTATATTAGAGTCCTATGTCATGGTCATGGTGAAATTCACCCTGTCTCAGAAGACTCAGCCCAAACCATTCTCTACCCCTTAATTAGCAACTTGAAGCAATGTTCTTTCCCTTAACCTTCTGGATCAGCTCTGCCAGGACCACAATGCCTGTCAGTTACTTCAGAGAACAGTGCCTACTGAGCATGTGTGAACAGATGTAATGCCTGTGCTCACAACACCAGCTCTACAAAAAAGCTTCAATACCTTTCCCCATCCACGAAATTGACAGCTTCCTCAGCATTGCTTGAAGTTGAAACATCGGCTCCAGCCTGCTGACTTGCAGATTTCAACTGCTCAATTTCAGTTTTGAGTTCTTCACACTGAGAATGAACATGTGATTTCTCTATTTCCAATAAATTAACCTGACAAAAAAATGAATTTTATGAGCATAAAGTTTTCAAAGTACAGTCCAAGTGCAAGTTCAAGCTAAAAAATATAAAGAACACCCTGATAAAATTACCAGCTGCTGACGCACATGAGATACACACCCCAGCAAGGTTGTCCCACTTTTCTCTCAGGAAAGCATCACTGAGCTACATCCCAGCACTCATGGCCTGCCACTCAACAAGTCTCCTTTGCTCAGGTTCACTTCTCTGTCATTGTATAATGAGGAAAAATGTTAATTACTACTTCACATGCTATTAGTGGACCCTAGAGAAGTGAACCACGGAGACGCTGAGGCTGCCGTTTAGAACGGCTCTCACTTCATCCACTCACTCTCACTAAAGTCACGACAAAAGCTTCTATTATTACTGGCTGATGTCTTATCACTTAACACAAGATACCCTATCATTCAGAGTACACGGAGGGCTGGAAAGATGGCTCACTGGTTAAGAGCCCTGGCTGCTCTTCCACAGGATCCCCAACTCTTTGCAGCTTCCATCCCAGGAGAACCCACACCCTCCATGGACACCAGGCACCCACAAGGTACAGACATATATGCAGGGAAAACACCTATACATGTAAAATAACAAAACAAACAAAACAAAAAACTAACTTTACACTGGATGTGTTGGCACACACCTTTAATAGCAGCATTTACAAGGCAGAGGCAGGCAGATCTCTCTGAGTTTGAGGCCAGCCTGGTCTACACATCAAGTTCCAGGACAGCCAGGGCTACATAATAAGACCCGATCTTAAAAATAAAACTTTGCATATTTGAAGTAGGACATATGCACAAGCTACCTTTACTATCCTGAGAGCTAGTGTTTTTCTATTTCCTCAGAAGAAAACCCCTTCAATAACTCATTTTCCATGTGCCCATGTACATATTAGCCTGGCAGCACAGAAACTCTCTTTGCTGTAGCCTGGAAGACACAAGTGTAATTGGCTCAACACGAGCAGCCGTCTCAGGTCACAACCACATACTGACAAGTAAACCAACAACATACAAGGAGCCTGTGTCTCAAGTGTAGAGCTGCCACCTTATTTGGACTTTATGTCACTTGTACACAGTGGCTTCCTCCATGAAATGAGGGTACTACTGGCTACCTCACATGGTTGCTAAAAGGTGTACTGGTTTTACATGCCAAGTTCTGACTATACCGAGTAAAACTCATTCAATGCAAGACATTCACCACACCTACCTGCTGCCCTGTTTTCTAGTGCTCCCACAACTTTTTTTTTTGGGGGGGGGGTTAGACAGCCAAGGAGGGGAGACATGGTCTTATGTAACCCAGATCAGCTTCAAACTTACCATGTAGCGAGGACGACTCCTGATCTATGTCCCCACACTCCAAGTGCAACACCACAGGTGTTCACCAGCACGCCTGCTTTAGTGTGCAGAACTCATTTATTTATATACTTACTCGCTTAACTGTTCATCGGTGTGTGTATAGAGGGCCTGAGGCAGATACCTGGTGTCTTCCTTCATTACTGACCCTCTGCTCTCATTAACTGAGGCAGCATCTCTTGATGACCCTAGAGCTTGCAATCCCTAGAAAAGCTGCCACGCCCACAGGGCTTTTGTATAGATGGTAGTATCTGAACTTCAGTTCCCATGCTTAGAAGGCAAGGACTTTATTCACTGAACCATTTTGTCAGTCCCTATTTTAGACATTGTTTTGTTTTGTTTTTTCGAGACAGAGTTTCTCTGTGTAGCTTTGGAACTTATCCTGGCACTCACTCTGGAGACCAGGCTGGCCTCGAACTCACAGAGATCTGCCTGCCTCTGCCTCCCGAGTGCTGGGATTAAAGGCGTGCGCTACCAATGCCCGGCTTATTTTAGACATTTTAAGAATCAAAAATGCTTCTATATAACCCTCTATGCTGCCAGGAGGCCTACTCCCCAGTTAGAAACCAAAGCATTAAGAAGCATCCAATAAAGACCATTGCTAGCACAAGCTGGAGAGTGACTACATGGGCAACTCACCTCACTTTTATACTGGTCCCTCTCCACAATGCACTTGTCCAGCTGTCGAAACACGTCATCAAGCTGCACGGCCATCTCATCCATTTCGCTCTTACTCTCACCACCAGAGCACTGGCTGCACTCAGTCTTTACATGCTGCAGAGTGCTGCACTGTTTCTTCAGCCTCTCTATCTCTTCCAGAGCTTGCTGATACTGAGAACCTATGTGGTCAGGACTTTCAGACTGACCATTAACACTTTCAAGTAAGAACACAGGGTCAGTCTCAGTGGACTGGTGACAAGTTTCCTTCTTCACGCACTTGTCATTCAGCTCTAATATCCTCTGCTGTAAGACTTTTATCTGCTCGGTGTACACATGACACTGTCTCTTGTAATCATCTCTCTCTTGCGTGACTGACAGCAGCTCACTTCTCAGTTCCCGTACCTGACGGCCAGCATCGTCTGCTGACCTATCCAAGGTTTCCTGTACCGTTGCTTCAGCATTTGCACAGGAGGGCAGTGTCACTCCGTCTCTCACTGCAACCATCTCACTTTCAACACATTCCTCCTCCTTTTTAACAACTAAGCCTGGTGCTTCAGTCTGAGTGGAGACAGCAGTGGCCTGGTCACCCCTGGAGGTGGGGGTGCTTGTTGAAGTGGCCTGGGCACAAGGTTCAGGACTTACAAGCTCAACCGGAACACTACTTTGTTCAGGGTGGCCCTGTTCTGACTTCATTTCAATGTCGTGATCAACTGCAGGTTTGGGGGTGCTATTCTCTTCTAAAATGATGACATCTTCATCATCATCATTTTTGTAAGATGAATTTTCAAATGGAGCATTACTTAATCTCCGATTCTTTGTATTCAGAAATGGTGAACGAGTAGCAAGTCTCCGTTTCAGGCTGGAAGAAATTGTACATATAAAATGTAAGTTTGTAAAACACAGGCAACTTTTCTTGTTGCTGTGACAACATCTATGACAAAAGCAACTAAATGAAGGAAGGGCTCACTTGGCTCACAGTTTGAGGGTGCAGTCCCTCCTGGCAAGCAGAGCGTGACAGCAGGAGGGAGGTTCGATGGGGATGGGAATGTACAGCTGGGACCCTCACATCTTGTCAGAAAAAGCAGCAAGGAGGGCCAGCTACACACCCTCAAGTCTATGCCCCGTGAGGTACAACTTCTTCAGTTTCAAGTTTTCTAAAATAGCCCCACTAAGGACCAAGTGCTCACACACTTGACAACTTCGATGACTGAGGTAGTCATCCTGACAAAGGTACTGTAACAACTCTAATTATTTGGAGATTCAAATAAACACTCAGTTTGACTTTTTCTTTTTTCTTTTATTTTGTGACAAGGTTTCCTCTGAATCAGTCTTGGCTGTCCTGGAACTCACTCTGTAGACCAGGCTGGCCTTGTACTCACAGAGATTCACCTGCCTCTGCATCCCAAGTGCTGGGATTAAAGGCGTGCGCCACCACACCAGCTGACCACTGAGATCTATTTAGAGTATCAAAGTCTACACTGACAAACACCTCTTCACCTGTGGTCTCCAATCACTGTAATAAATATAAGCCCCAAACACAACACCAACTACTAAGAGCACTTCCTGAAACTGTGAGGGAATGGTAATAACATTTTCATCTGCTCATTTTTCCCAACAGTGATCAAAGGCCAACAGTATTCTCTGTGTTGAGAGTTAGTCTGATGCTAGATTCCCTGAAACTGATGTATTCAGAAGGAATGTTGTTCCTTGTCTAAAATTGGGAATGAGCTTGGCAGAGCCAGTAATGGCCTGGGGCCAGCCAGGACATTAAGGGGGCTGTGGATCCCGAGAGCCCAACGCTTCCCACTGTACAGGGCTCAGGCTGCTGTGAGCTAAATCTGTATGTGTTCCCCTGATGTAACACTGCTGAGCTTGTCCCGGTGAACAATAGTTTCTGCTGTCCCGCTGTCCCTTTCAGGAAAATCTGTCCATGAGATGCTGTACTGAGCTATGTGCTTGCTTGGCATAAGACACAGTTTGTGCACAAGCCCTAACCTCAGCTTTCCAATGTTCTTCACCTTCTCATCTGCTGCCTGCCCACCTCCACTGAGGACCTCATCACTGAAGGATGACCTACTGGCCCAAGTCAGTTTCATATAAAATGATTCCCCCAAATTAGAAATTGTATTGAGCCTGGGGAGATAGCTTAGGAGGTAAGAGTACTTGTTTTTAAGAATGAGAACCCGATGCTGGGTGGTGGTGGCATATGTCTTTTAATCCCTGCACTTGGGAGGCAGAGGCAGATAGATCTCTGAGTTTGAGGCTAGCTTGGTCGGCAAAGCGAGTTCCAGGACAGCCAGGATGAGAAACCCTGTCTTGAAAAATAAAACAAAAGAAAAAGAGGGAGTGTGGGAGGGAGTGTGGGAGTGTGGGAGGGAGGGAGGGAGGGAGAGAGAGAGAAGGTATGTTTAAGATGTGTAAAAGGTTGGAGATGATGTTAGAGGAGTGTTGTTACTTAGGTATCTAACTGTCTACATAGTAATAGGATATCATCTCTGATTGGCACAAGTCACATATGAAATTGCACAGGGCATAGAATTATCTGATAGAATTCTTTGCCTCCAGACTGAGCAGAGTCCTTCATAAAATATTCTGTTCCAAGACCAGGAACTGATCTAGTATCACACTGACACTGTGACAGCTAACACCAACCTGACAGGCTCTTGGATCATCTAGGAAACAGCCTCCAGGAACACCTATGAGAATCGCCAGCCAGGTTCAATGACTGGGAAGAGTTACCTAGCAGTGATGGGCTGTCCCCTGGGCTTGTGGATTATAGGAGAATGTTTGCTGAGCACTGCCATTCGCTGCCCTCCTGGCCCAACCTTAGATGCTATGTGACCACGTGCAACAAGCTCCTGCTACCACCACTTCCCTGATAGTGGACTGAGCCACAACAAACTTTGCCCCGCCCACATACAATACGCACAGAGGCCAGAGGCCCCTGGGACTAGATACAGGTGGTTGAGAGCTGGGGATCCTAACTGGGTCCACCGGATGGGCAGGCAGTGCTCTTACTTGCTGAGCCGTCTCTCGAGCCCCCTTAGGTTGCTTTTGTCAGAGTGTTTTGTGACAAGGACAGGATAAGTAACTGAGACAGACACTTAAGGCAGTGATTTTATATTATACATTGTTAACAGGCCCCCATGTAACCCAGCACACTGGCCCCTGGCCACAACACCTGCCAAAGCAGGAACAGAAGGCCTAACCCATCAAAGACCAGGTCCACAGCTCCAGGGCCCACAAAGTCCCCAAATGTACTAACCCTGCTTTTTAGCTCCTTTGCTTCTTGATAACTTGCTAACAACTGAAGTGTAGCAGCCAGGGTGTGGTTTCTATGCCTTGTGCACGACAGCAAGGTGCTCCCACAATTAAACTATAGCCCTAGGTCTTCCATGCTTCTTGCTTTAAGATGGACTATATAAAAGCCCAGAACTCTCTGTAGCTCCAAGCAGACTTGAAGTAACATACTTAGTTACCCAAGGAGCCGGGATTATAGGCCTCTGCCGCCAACCCAGCAAGAGCTAGTGACCGGATCAAACCACGTAATACAATACACACTCACCCATATGCACATAAAGTCTTGTCTTATAGGCTGGCTTTGAACTCTCCACAGGCAAACATGAACTTCCTGAGTGCTGTCATTACCTGTATGTGCTATTACAATGGTCAGTTACCATTTGTTAGCTAACTTAAGTGTGTGGTTGAAGAAGGCAGGAAGAATGCTTGAGGCTTTTCACACTCAAGGGAACTGCCGTTTCTCAGGGTCACATCACCGCTGTACAAGAGTCACCACTAACCTGCTGCTCTCAGGTTCAGACTGAGGTGAAACCATGTGGTTACTTAAAAGCCTTGTTGGGAAAGGACTCCCGAGACTCCCAACTTCAGGAAGATGTGGTCTTGGAACACTCTCTTTCACAGGGGAAAAGCTCCGACTTGAAATACTTGTTGGATACATTAAGTCAGCACTGATCTGTTGGTGGGAAAAAGGCACTATTTTTAATGTAATAGTTACCAAACACAAGTTACATACAATCTATTTTCCTTTTACCCCAGAAAATACTGAGAATTATCCTAAGCATGTGGATTTCTTTTTTTAAAAAAAGATGTGTTATATATAGTGTTCTGCCCGTAAGTACACCTTCATGCCAGAAGAGGGCACCAGATCTTATTAAAGATGTTTGTGAGTCACCACGGGAATTGAACTCAGGACCTCTGGAAGAGCAGTCAGAGCTTTTAACCTTTTAGCTGTCTTTCTAGCCCCACATGTGGATTTCTTTTGCTAATCAGAAATGAGTAAATGGATCAGTGAACTAAACCAGCCTTTTCCACAGGTAGCAAATGTTTGTGCGTGCACGTGTTTGGTTGTCTGTCCATGTGTGCACACATGGACTCGAGCTTGTGGAGGGCAGAGATCGATGCTGGCGTCTTCCTCACTTACTCTCCGCTTCATGTTTTCACACAGGGTCTCACTGAACCTATGTCAAACCTAGGAAGCTTGCCCATTTGGCTGGAATAGTTGGCCAAAAACCTGAGATGCACCTGTGTCAGCTTTCCAAGCACTGGGATTACAAACATTTACGACAAGCCGTTTATATGGGGGTGCTAGGCACCTGAGCCTCAGCTCCTCATGCTTGCATCCCATGCATTTGGCCAATTGAGCCATCTCCAGACTCCAGTGTGACATTATTAAAGGGGATGAAAAGGAAACATACAATACAGACTCTAAGTGGCTCACAAAGGCAGAAGAGATTTGCTATGCTGTGAACCTAATACGCACATGACTTAGAAGATAGATATTTGAGAAACTGGAATGGAAGTGAAAATAATCATGAAGATAGCACTTTCAAAACCGAAAGTGATCCTCTACTGTTCTTTCTCCCAGTCCTGGACTCCCCTTAACACACTAGAAAGCACTGCAATGCAGTTACAAGTAAACCACCCCCAAGGCAGAACAAAACTTCCTGCCCAAGAAATATTTACCTTTAGCCAAAATATCCCATCCACTCTACTCACAGCAAACATACAATACAGACTCTAAGTGGCTCACAAAGCTCGCTAACCCCCCAGCTCTCTAAAGACAAGACTCTTTTAATCCAATCCTGGCTGCCCATACAAATGGGTGGAGCCATCCATTGGAGCAAAGCCAACCTACTAGGAGCCTCATCTTCAAAGAAAACTGACCCAGGGGACTAGAGAGATGGCTCCCAGGTTTAAGAGTTTTAGCTGGTCTTGCAGAGGATGCTGGGTAAATTCCCAACACCCACAGTGAGCTCACAATTGTAAAACTCCAGTCAGAGGGGATCAACACCCTCACATGAACATAGATGCAGGCAAAACACTAATGCACATAAAACATTGAGAGAAATTAAAAATGAAAAGGAAAGCTGACTCTCCATTAGTACCAGCAACCACTGACACACTCTTCCCCTTCAAGTGGGATGCTGAGCAGTCAGTCTGGCCTTGTCCTGACAGTAACTCCTCCCCTCCTAACCCCCAACCCTCACAATATTCCCACCACCTTTTCCCTCAAGTTCCCTCAAGTCTGGGGGAACAGGTATGAAACCCATGTCCCACTTATGGTTGTGCACCCCACAGACATTTTCTCTCTTCATTTCAGCAATTTTGCATTTCTGACAAGATTTGTAAAAGGCTGCCTTACCTCAACATTATCCTGCTAAATATTAGTCGGACAGTGTGAAGAAGCTATTGGGCTAGGAAGACTTGGGGAAAAGAGCCAAGAATGGGTAACAAAAAGAGTATGAATTCAACAAGTTCCTTTCAACTGGTTATAAAAGTCCAAAACTTTAGAACTCAGCATAGATTAAACCAAGTACTTCTAAAAATTAAGACAGATAAAATAGAAGGATTCATTACCCGAGGGACAAATTCCGGTTGTCTGATCCTGTATTTCTCCTTGCTGCTTGAAGAGAAAGATGAACAATGAGCATGTTGATATTTACCCTATTATGACTTCACAGTCCCATTTTCAAATGATGTATTACCCTACCAAATTACTCCAACATCTACAATTGACTTACTGTATAGACTATCGGGTACCCCCCTTCCCTCCCATGCACATTCTCGCCTTTAATTAAAAACCTTCGTAATACCTCATGCCTGCCTGAACCACAGACCATAAACAAGGGTATCAAAGGCTTAAGTGGGTTTATTACTTCCAAAACCACTCTAAAATTGAGTAACCGCCAGCCCACACAGAGATTAGGGTGTGCTGACTCAGTCAGCAAGGTGCCTGCTGAGCAAACCTGAGAAAGCAAGTTCCAGTGCCCTAGAACCCAGTAAAAGCTGGGCATGACAGCACATCTAACCGCAGTCTGGTGTTCACTGGCCGGCCACTCAAGTTCAATAATGAGTTCCACTTAGTTAGAAACCCTGCCTCAAAAAATAAGATGGGAGAGCCTGGTGACAGGGTGCACTCCTTTAATACCAATGCCTGGGTGGTAGGAGGCAGGAGGATTTCTGTTGAGTTTAAGGACAGCCTAGTCTACACAGAAAGTTATAGGCCAGTCGGGGCTACATAGTAACCCCCTGCCTCAAAACACAAAACAAACAAACAAAACAAAAAACAAAAAAAGAGAACAAATAAGGAAGACAGCTGACATGGACCTGTGGTCACGAAAGGTTCTTAGCCTTCTGCCTATGTTCACCGCCATGTCCTGTTGATCCCTTGTCACACTCCTTAAACCATGTACTCTTTCCACCCTGACATGACTTCCTTCGGACCCTAAGAGGGACACACAGATCACCCTGGGAATAGAAATTAGATGATATCTACAGTACAAAGTGGGGGTGAGAGTGGGGAGGGGAGACGAGAACAGGAGGGAACGAGATGACTTGGGGGGGTATACAGTGGAAGAGCAATGAGATACTTTAATAGAGAGAGCCACTGTGTGCTTAGGGAGAAACCTGGTGCTAGGGTAACTCCCAAGAATCCACAAGAAGGACCCCAGCTAAGACTCCTGGCAATAGTAGAGGATGTCTGAACTGGCCTACCCCTGCAATCAGATTGATGAATACCCCAACTATCGTCATAGGGCCCTCATCCAGTAATTGATGGACCAGACAGAGATCCACAACCAAGAACCAGACAGAGCTCCGGGAATCCAGTCGAAGAGAAGGAGGAGGGAACACATGAGCAAGGGAGTCAAGATCAGGATGGAGAAATCTACACAGACAGCTGAACCAAGCTCCTGGAAACTCATGAACTCCAGACCTACAACTGTGGAGACTCCAGGGGACTGAATTAGGCCCTCCATATGCGGGAGACAGTTGTGAAGCTCGGACTAGCTGAGGAGCCCCGGGCAGTAGGACCACAATACAAACCTGGTACATGAGCTGGCTTGATGGAGCCCATTCCCTATGGTGGGATGCCACGCTCAGCCTTAATGTATGGGAGAGGGGCCTGGCCCTGCCCCAACCGAATGAGTCAGACTGTGCTGACTCCTCATGGGGAGGAGTGGACTGGGGGTGGGCTAGGGGGAGGTGAAGTGGGGTAGGAGGGAAAACTGTGGAATTTTTAAAAATTAAAAAAATAAATTGGGGAAAAAGAAAAAGAAAAAAAGAAATGACCTAGTTCACGAAACTTCCTGGTCTATATCATATCTGCCTTCCCTGGCCAAGTCAGAAGCAACTCTCCTTTGAGCTCCTACCACACACAGGGCTGTGCCTCTTACAGACAGACCTCACCTCACCCATGTTTAGGTGCAGATGTCCTGTAGACGCCCTGCCTGCATGTGTGTCTGTGTACCACACGAGTGCATTACCGATGGCGGTCATCAGAGGATGTTGGGTCCTCTAAGACTAGAGTTTCAGGTGGCTATAAGCTCCCATATGGGTGATAGGAATCAAATCTGGGTACTTCCAGAGAACAGTTTTTTCATCTCTGAGCCATCTCTCTGGGCCCAGGCTTATCAACGTATCACTGTTAATATACACGCCAGCTGTTCTGTCAAGACATAGGCTAGAAACAGGAGTGTTTCTGCACAGCTCATCTAATACAGCTCAAAAGACCAAATTCTTCTTAGCAATCAATGCAGGTCAGTAAAGATGGGCCCCCATGGCTGCAGGTCAGTAAAGACGGGTCCCCACGGCTGCAGGTCAGTGTAGCCAGTAAACTGGCACCCCATGGCACACGCTGGTACAGAGGCAGCAATGCTGGGTTCACTACACCCTTCAATCACACCTGTGCTGGTTCAAACCACAACACTTTGAATACATTACTGATTTGCGGGTCCCTTCTTACCACAGGCATGCAACACTCACGTCTTTTTGTAGGTTTTTTCGTAAGTGGGATGTACCAAATCCTCATCTTCAGGTTCTTCTGGAACTTCGCAGTTTCTAGACGAAAAGAAACCACACAAGAATGACACATCGCCAGTCCACAGCACTTTCTGCCTTTCCAGAAAGGGCACTGCCAACTATATGGTACCTGAACTGTGGGTCAGGGTTATTGTAGCAATACCATTTTTCTGGAAGTTGATCTATTCCATCTGGTAATTTTCGCCACTTTAAGCAAGCATCACACTGAACCCATGTCTGATCAGGGCGCTTCCTTTAACAAAACAAAAACAAAATATTAAAATGGAATTATGGTGTCAAGTATTTGATTTATTTTCTACATTGTTTACACATGAAATATCTGCTTATTTCCAATCTTGAAAAGTGCCTGATAAAACTGTATTTAATGTATAATTAAGTTTTTAAATGTTAGCAACTTTTATGAAGTTATGGCCACATATTCATTTTAATAGAACAAATGTCTTCTTTAATCCTAGGCCTTGGAAGGCAGAAGGATGTTAAGTGAGGTCCTGCCTTGAGACAGGGGACAGAGAGGAGTGTGGGGTCGGGGGTGAGGAGGTGAAGATGGTGCTAGTGGACATTTTAACCTCAGCACTTGGTGGGTGGCAGAGGAGGTAGATCTGGGTCTTCAGACAAAGTGGAAAGTGACGAGAACTGGGGGATGCCCTAGGAAGAGGAATACGCAGCCAGCTAGAGTGGTAACTCACTGGCTACGAGCACTTGATTTTGTCTAGAGGAACCAGGTACAAGTCTCAGCACACACTTGTCACTTACGGTGATATTCTGTTTATGATCTAACAAAGTTTGCCTGAAGGTCAGCGTGCAAAGCCTCTGACTATGACACTAGTTAGTCATAGAGGTCAGGCAGTGGTGACACACACCTTTGATCCCAGTAGACACACTAGTCAGCCATAGAAGCTGGGCAACGTTGGTGCACCCCTTTAATCCAGCACTAGAGAGGAATTTAAGGGTGGGGAGACAGCAGTGAGGTACAGTCAGTCTCAGTCATGCTGAGGACAGGATCACCCCAGCCTTGGTGGAGGTAAGAACTCTAGTGGCTGGCTGCTTTGCTTTTCTGGTACAGCTTGAACCCCAAATATATCTGTCTCTGGGTTTTTATTATTTATTCTACAGTAACTCATAACCATCTGTGACTCAACTTCCAGGGCATCTGACAGTCAGGTGGATACCAGACACTCCACATATGTAAGCAAAATACCCATATGTTTAGGTAAAAAAAATTCTGAAGACTCATTTTATATCAGATTTCCTCTTTGTTTGAGACAGGATTAACTTCCACCTATGTAAACCAGAGTGGCCTAGACTCAGAGCTTCCCTACCTCTGCCACCTGAGTACACTACAGTTTTTAAACAGTGGGCAAGAGCAAATCACGGAGTGCACACCTTTCATCCCAGCACTGGGGAGGCAAAGGCAGAGCAGTCTGAATTCAAAGCCACAGTAAGCTTAAGGAGTCCTTGCTGCAAGCCACAAAAGGTGTACAATAGCCCAGTGGCATGCTCGCCCAGCAGCGGGCTCAGGCGAAGCTCAGAAGTTAAGAGCACTGGCTGCTCTCCAGAGGACCTGAGTTCAATTCCCAGCAACCACAGGGTGACTCAACCATCTATAATGAGATTTTGTGCCCTCTTCTGGCCTGAAGGCATATTGTATACATAATAAATTAAAATCTTTGAAAAAAATTTCAAATGGACTCAATGTTTACAAAGTTAACAAAAAAAAAAAAAAAAAAAAAAAAAAAAAAAAAAAAAAAAAAAGAAAGAAAGAAAAGAAAAAGAAAAAACCTCAGTAAATAGCCCTTGTTTCGTAGGATCACTGATAACCTTCTAAATCCTGGCCCAAGTTCTTCTTGCTTCCAAAGGCACAGGCATAGCACCCTGGTTACTGGTGCCCATTTCTGCACCAGTGAGGGACTTTACTCACGGCTCAGTTATAATTATTAGCCTGTGTGTGCTTCGTGTACTAATGAGACATCACAGGCATGGTACTGTACAGTTCTTTTTATGCTTTTAAAACGTATTTTATTGTTTCATTTCATGTGTATCAGAGTTTTGCTTGCCTGTGTGTTTATGTACCACAGAGTGCCTGATGCCAGAGGCCAGATGAGGGTGTAGGATTCCCTGAGACTGAGTTAAGACTGTTGTTGAGCCACCAGGTAGGTGGTGCTGGGAGTCAAAGCTGGGTCCTCTGGAATAACTCTTACCACTGAGCAATCTCTCTAATTCTAGGTCCTCCAATGCCCTCTTCTACCAGGCACACAAGTGGTACACAAAAGCATACATATAGGCAAAACACCTATACAGACAGATAGACAGATAGATAACAAGCTGAAATAAGTGATATCAACAGACATCAACTCACTAAGTTGGAGTGTGTGGATTTACTTTCTTGAATGAGCCCCAAGTGTGGAAAGCCAGAGAAGCAGCGTCACCTCTGAAAGACTTAGCATCAGTACTTACTGTATGTCTTCGACAGGCAAACTTAGAGGGTATTCTGCATTTTTTTTCACTTTCATTTCATTCCAGTAATCATTCAGCTTTTCTCCTAATGCTAGTATTGTAAGCCTTAAAAAACAAATCATAACATTAATTCAAGAAAAAATAAAACAGCAACTCAAGATCAATTTTTAAAATGTAAACAGGCTAGAGTGATGGCTCAGCAGTCTGTCCTTCCAGAAGACCTGGGTTCAATTCTCAGCACCCACATGGCAGCTCACAACTGCCTGTAGCTCCAGTTTCAGGGTATCTGACACTTTCACACAGATATATACATACAGGCAAAACACAAATACACATAAATTATTAAAAGCCAGAACTTCCTATACAGATGCTTAAAATAAACAAATGTAAAACAAAACAAACTTAACCCCTAATCTCTCAGGATACAGCACCTTTGTTTTTTTGGTTTTTGTTTTGTTTTGGTTTTGGTTTTTCGAGACAGGGTTTCTCTGTGTAGCTTTGGCTGTCCTGGAACTCACTCTATAGACCAGGCTGCTGGCCTCGAACTCACAGAGATCCGCCTGCCTCTGCCTCCCGAGTACTGAGATTAAAGGCGGGCACCACCAATGCCCGGCTTTTATTTTGTTGTTTTTGTTGTTGTTTTTGAGCCTCTTTGGTTTTATTAGTATTTGCTACTGTCATAAATCATTAATAACAGGTTTACATAACCTCCCCTTTACAATGTCCCTGGATTTATTATCAAGGCTATGTGCTTTCATAATAGCTTCTAAAGAGTTTCTCAGACTGATAACACATCTTCCTTAAACAACTGAATTTAATAATTAATATTCTCTATGAAAATTAGTCCTGTTACCCTCTTAATGTTTCTTTTAAATTTGTTGGACCCATACAGTCCTTTTTGGAGACAGACCCTCATTCTTAAGTTTTTATAACATGTGTGTGTGTGTGTGCGCGTGCGTGCGCGCGCTCGCCCTTTAGCAGTCAGACAACTTGGAGGAGTTGGTTCTCTCCAGCTACCATGTGGATCCCAGATATCCAACTCAGTCACCAGCAGGCAAGGCAGCAAATCCTTTTCCCAGCCAAACTCCCCCTCAGGGCTTCATTCTTTAAACTGCTTAAACTCACAGTAATTCTTGTGGGATTACATGTATGTATCACTACATAGCCTGTCATTTCTCACTTTGACAATTTACATTGATATTTGCTCCTGTCCCTTAGTCTTACTGTATGCTTACAGACTATTAATCTCAAACAAACTACTGTTTGGTGTGTCCACTGTCAGTATGTTGTTTTCCAGCTCCAAATCCAGTCCAAGACAATACTCTGTTCTTTTTTTTTTTTTAATTTTATTTATTTATTATGTATACAACATTCTGCTTCCATATATATCTGCACACCAGAAGAGGGCACCAGATCTCATTACGGATGGTTGTGAGTCACCATGTGGTTGCTGGGAATTGAACTCAGGACCTCTGGAAGAGCAGTTGGTGCTCTTAACCTCTGAGCCATCTCTCCAACCCCAATACTCTGTTCTTACTTCATTCTGAAGCATGTTTTTGTCTTCTCTGTTATTGAAGCTTTAACTAAAACCTCTTATCTGAAGGCAAGTGCTCCCAGAGAAGCTGCACCTGTGCCCAGCAGGGATGAGAGCAACAGGGACTATAGAGGCCCAGCTCAAGAGGACTCAGAAGGAAACACAACTGAGCTAGAGACCCTCCTTTTAATATCTTGGCCAAGAATTTGGGTGTTTCTGGCTTTGTCTGAATTGAACAGCTCCAGACTAATTTTGTTGGGAAGGGGAGATTTCAAGATAGCCTAATATTGACATGGTTTCTAGTGACCATTTTGTTTGTTTGTTTTTTGAGATAGGTGCTCTGTATCTCTCTGGCTGTCTTAAAAAATGGAGACCAGGCTGGCATGAAACTCACAGAAATCTGCTCATGCTGGGGCCATAGACTATGCAACCATACTCAGCTTAGCGATTATTCTTATGCAGATACTACCCAGCTAAACTTCCAACTTGTAAAAAGCCTAGGAACTGACAGCTCCTAAAAAGAAGCAACAAAGGAAAACTTAGGCAAGTGAATTCCAAGGAGGGCCAGGCTCCATCCCAAGAAGGAAGCAAAGGCAATGGGAGTAAAGTAGTTGTGGAAACTCCCTCCTGAGGTTAAGGAGAGCTGTGTTGCATGAAGTCCCTGAATGCAAGCCAGAAAAGGACACTGTGTGAAGCTGTTAAAGTGACGCCTAAATTGTGCTGGAGAGCCCAGGATGTTAGAGGTGCCAGCTCTGGGATGTCTGCCACAGAGAGCTGCAGATAGGGTATGGAACCAGCCCAAGAGAGAGAAGTGTGTTGCAGTCAACAAAGCCTCTAATGCCAGTAGAAGCAAGAGGATCTCCTGAGTTTCAGGACAGCCTGATGTACATAGCAAGCTCCAGGGCCGCAGGGACTACAGAGAGAAACTCTATCTCAAAAAATAAAAAACAAAAACAACTAAAAGAGAAAAGCTATCTAAGCCTTTGGACACCAGACATAAAGAGACAGGATTTGGAGTTTGCCATGATGGACTCTGATCTTGTTCTGGTCCAGTATTTACTTCTTCTCTGCGCCCTTACTCCTTGCTTTTGGGATGACAATGCATATTCTGTGGAAGAACACAATTTGCTTTTTCTTATTTTCCAAGGGTTTTTAAAAGATTGCCTTGAGTCTCGAAATTTGAACTTTTGAAGTTGGACTGAATGAAATTTGCATTATAGCCATCCCCTCCCTGGGCCAGGGAGCAGACTGTGGTGGACTGAATGAGAACGGCCCTCACAGGCTCATGTGTTTCAATACTTGGTCTCCAAGTTAGTGGGACTATTTGGGAAGGATGAGAAAAAGTGGCCTTGGAGGAGGTGTCACTGGCAGGTAGGCTTTAAGGTTTCAAACCCTCACACCACTTCCCAGTTAGCTTTCTTCTCTGCCTTGTGCTGTAGACAGAGTAAGGTCTCAGTCACTGCTACAGCACTGTTCTCACTTGCCACCATGCTCCCAATCCTGTCACGGATTTAACCTCTCAACTGTAAACCCCAAATAAATGCTTTCTTTTACGTTGCATTGGTCAGTGTCTTATCACAGCAATAAAAAGTAAAAAACCCAGAAAGAAGCTGTACGTGGCTGGAGATGGTTCAGTGGGTAAGAAAGCTTACTGCTCTTGCAGGTGACCTGAGTTTGGTTCGCAGCTCCAAACTCAGATGGCTCACAGTCTCCTGTGACTCAGCTTCAGGGGTCCAACACCCTCTTTTGGACTCTGCACATCCGTGTGTAGACGTGCACAGATCCACAAAGACACATATTAGAAAATAAAAGGGAGAGAAGCCCTACACTGTAGAACTTTAAAACTTTGAGTGACTCGTTTAGAAGATGGTCTTCTCTTCCATCTCAATCTGTCATCTATTCCACCATGATCAAAATACATAATTCTGGTTTTCTCAATGAGATACATTACCCTGAGAGTTACAGAAATGGACCAAATGCCTGCCTGCCTAGTATTGGGTGTCCACCTGTAATGGCAGTACTTGGGACTGTCTTGGAAGTTCAAGGCACCTTGACTACATAGCTATTTCAAGGCCAGTCTACACAGGTCTACCCATCTCAAACATGTCCTCTGGCTAAAGGGATGGAGGAGTGAATATCCTAGCCATCTATCTCGCTTAACACCTTTCCTCAGTTTGTCAGTAAATAAATGTGCAACATACCTGTACTCATTAGTGTAGTCAAAATCTTGCTTATTATGAGTTGGCTTAAGGAAATTACATTCTATAATTCCAACCACTCCAACACCCATGTTGTTTGCCTGAAATATAGTGAAAGAGCATTTCAGACGTAACGCATGAAGCTCACTATACCCTTCAACAAAGATTTACACTGCAGACATTATATGACTGCCCTGAAATCTCCTGGTAAGTGCTGTGTGTTTGATAAGTTAACTCCTACATATCACAGTTCTCTTCCAAGCCCATTGCTGGCAGGTGTGCACTGGGATGAGAACTATGTGCTCACTGATGCAAGGGGAAGGACGGCATCTGCTGGGATGCGGTTTCACCAGCACAGCACTGGCAACCACCAGGCTGAGCACAGTCCCGCTGCACTGATGACAGCAGCTCCTCAGCTTGCCCCTCTGCACCAATGCACAAAAGACAAGACACTGGCAACTCGCAGTCCATGTCTCCTTCACACACCTGGTGTAATAACAGCAGTCTAAACAAATCCACACTAAGCTGTGCAGAACATGTTGGCATTCTACAAGGAACTTAGAATAATTTGAAAAGATAACAAATCCCAAAATACTTGGCGGGGACGGGAGGACGGGACGGGATGGACACACACATCTACCTTAAAACCCTCTGAGAGTTCCTCATTTAAATCAAACAACAAACCTTTAACAGGTACACTTATCATCCAATACCTAGAAAATAACACTCTAATGTATATAGAACAAATGTATAAAGTACAAGGTGGGTTATGACTGGCAACCTAGACTAGATTTTACAGCAATGAAAGTTACTCAAAGGGGCAGAAAAATGGTCAGGGAGCAGGCCCCTGCTACCAAGCCTTACCTGCAGCCCCATGAGGGAGCAGGGCAGTTTTAACCTATCAGTTACTATTTGTCAGGCTGGTTCCATAAGTGCTTATAAAATTGCCAAGTTAAAATAAACACCACTCAAATTCATTCCAGTAAAAAACAATCATGTGACCCACATCCAAATGCATCCAAGAGACTTGCATCCACGGAAGGTGTCACACTAGCACAGTTTGAGACTAGCTGAGTATATTGTAAGATGGTCCCCAAACAAGACAAAACAAAACTTCCCTCCAAACAACTCAGCAGAGACGCACTTCTGTGCTGAGAACCACACTCCTGGTAAGTCTTGGGCAAACTACTTACTAGTCCCAATTTCCAACTCTGTATAGTGAAACCAATCCTCTATATGTCCTTGTGGGACCGAGTACTGAGACTCCAATGACAACTGAATGCAGCCAAATGCCAGGCTAATGCGGCACCTAGAAGACTGACACACGCCAGGGGTGGCTTACGCACCTTCAATCCCTGAGTTCAAGGCCAGCCTGGCCTACATAATGAAGTCCAGGATAGCCAGGGATAGAGGGACCCTGTATCAAAAAGACAAATACCCCTTCCCACCTTCAAAAGAGACTGACACCTAAAAAGCCATGAGCAAAGACTATATTATTCTTTTGTTAAAAACATTCTCTTTTCAAATATAAGCCTTACCTTTAGCTGACATCCCACTTTTTCATAAGCCTTAATGAGTCTATTTTTGTGATACATCATTATCCCATAGTGATCTTTGTTTCTGCAGTTGAATCCAAAAGTAATTCTCACTGTTCTAGTCTTAAAATATTAAGGAAAATTTCTGAGTACTACAAGACTTAAATCCCTTCCAATGACTCTCTCTGTATTACTAATAAATACCATTATACAGGGGCTGGGGAGGCAGGTCTTCTTCCACGGAATGCAGGTTTGCTTCTCAGTATCTACATGGCAGCTTACAACCACCTCAATCCCAGGGGATCTCATACCCTACCGGCCTCCTTGGGCACCAGGCACCTACATGGCACAGATACTCATGTAGCAAAACACTCATACATATAAAATAAACATATATAAATCTATTCAAAATAAGCCCCAGAGTACATGCAGAAAGCAAACCTGGAGAGTAGAATTCCTATGGGGAGTACGGGCGGGATGGATCAGCAGATAAGGATGCTGGCCATTAAGCTTGACAAACTGACTTTAATCCCTGCGACTCACATGGTAAAAAGAGAACAGACTGCTGCAAGTTGTCCTCTGATATACACAAACCCACTCATGTACATACAGATGAGTGTAATTTTTAGAAATATTACAGGAATAAAAAGGGTTAACGACAAATGGTATTGAATGTGTTTCCTATGTTTACACAGCGTTATACATAAAGGATACTAAAAATTTAGGTCGATACACATCCCGTTCAATGTAGGCAAGACTCTTGGAAACTAGCTGGGTCTTCACTTTTTGACCACGTAGGATGATCTGCATTCTTGGCTTTAGGTATAGAATACTGCAGTAAGCCTGGAAAGAAACAACAAAATCAGTCCTCTCTACAGAATCATTCACAAATTTATTCAATGTTACTCAGATACGAATTTAAAAAGAAAGCGCTTCCTTTGGTAACAAACAACTTAATTCCTCAATAAAGTAATTTAGACTATAGAAGTGGTGGTTGTAGTTAGTGGTGAAGGTATGCATGCACTACCATGTATGAGGCCCTGGGTTCAATCTCAAGTATCAAGCAATGACAACAACACAAAGTTACAATAGTTATTTGATTTTTTTTAAAAAGATTTATTTACTATGTATACAACATTCTGCCTCCATATATGCCTGCATGCCAGAAGAGGGCACCAGAACTCATTACAGATGGTTGTGACCCAACCATGTGGTTGCTAGGAATTGAACACAGGCCCTCTGAAAGACCAGCCAGTGCTCTTAACCTCCGAGCCATCTCTTCATCCCCTAGTTATTTGATTTTAAAAGACAGTTTTTTGTTTTTGTTTTTGTTTTTTTTTTTTTTTGAGCCAGGGTCTCAAAATAGCACAAGCTACCTAGATGGCTTTGAACACCTCCCTCCCCTGTGGGTCACTGCAGGTATGCACCACACACCTGGAAACTCCAACACTCAGCCCAATAGGAGGATCTCCAGTCTGAGGCTGCATAGTAAGACAGGGTTTCTCTGTATAGCCCTGGCTGTCCTGGATCTTGCTCTGCAGACTGGGCTGGCCCTGAACTCATAGAGATCCGCCTGCCTCTGCCTCCCAAGTGCTGGGATTAAAGTAGCCAGTCTAGGCTACCCAGGAAGACCTTACCTCAGAAAAAGAAAGTTAACTTTAGAAAATTGAACAACCACCTCTCACGCTAAGACATGTTCTTCTGTCTCCTTATCACTATGAGAACAACCTCTAAAGGAAATGGGTTGAGTAATTCAGAGGACAGATCACAGACTCAGCACAAAGTCAACTCTGAACATTTCCTACTTTACCTGGCTCCTGATTTCAAGGACATGGTATGTCGTCTTTTCTAAAACCCACTCACGGTCTCTGTCAACACTGCATTGCCAACTGTCTGCTCTCACTGGCTGGGACCTGTTTCATTCACACTTAAGCATGACTTTAACAGCAGTGGCACACCAGTAACAGGAAAGAATAAGAAATAGTACACGTTTGCTATTATGATTACTCAGACCTCAGAAAATGTACATGATCAAACTTGTAAATGTCAAATTCTTGGCTTGGGATATGTAATGACTTTAGCACATGAATGATAAAATTAGTAACTCATTCAAATTAAAAACCAATGATCAATCACAAACATCACAGTACTGCAATCAGTGTTTGTACACAATTCCAAGTTCATGTTGTTAACTGCACAGGACTTAGGATTACCCTGGAGACAAATCTCTAAGAGTGCCTGTAAAGGATTTTTCTAGATGAGATGAATTGATGTGGGAAGAGCCACCCTGAAGGAGGGCAGCACCACTCCCTGGATTGGGGTCTCAAACTACAGAAGAAGGACAACGTTGGCTCAGCAAACCATTCCTGATTTTGTCCTCTCTGATAACAAACACAATGTGACCAGTAGCTGTTGTCCCTTCTATCACACCTTCCTCAGAACTACAAGCTAAAATAAACCATCCTTCTTAAAGAGCTTCTGTTGGGTATTGTCACAGTGAGACAAGGAATTAATACATTGAATCTTTACAACATAACCTGTTTCTGAAGTCAAATCTCAAGAGATACTTACTACATAATGTTATAATTGTATATTATCTCATCAATATGCTTTAGAAGACAAATCAAGGTATGTCAAAAACACTGAATTTGGTGTTCTGTGACTTCAATTAATCAGTGTAGCAAATACAAAATGTACTGACTCACCGATTCAAATAAACTAAGTCCAGAGTGGAAAAGCAAAAGCTCTATAAGAACTGATATCTTCAAAATTAAAACAAGGGTTCCCTCTCCCTGCTCTCTCTGAGACTGCGTCTCATGTGCTATACTCCAATCCATCTATTAAAATAAGGCTGTCATAGCAAAACAACAAAAACCAACAACCAGGACCCAAATGAGTGGTTTAGTATGCTGATCCATGTGTAGCACACGTCCAGGAGAGACATCCCAAGTAGACCCAAGTCAGCTAACAGTTTAGTGCTTGTTGACTGCTCATCTCCAGCAACAACTGAGTACATACCCTTAGGGAGTAGTCACTCTCAGGGGCGATTTGGTCCATCCTTTCTTGTTTCTTGTACCCTTTCTTCCCTGCAGCCTCATCTAAGTCCTCGGGGATTCTGATGTCATACTTGTCCTTTTCAAAATCAAATTCTGTTGCATTTTTGTAACTGTAAGAAAAGAATTTAGAAAGAAGCAAAATTTAACTTCAGATCAAGAAAAAAAATCAGCAAATACTGTTAAGAAAAAAATGAATAAGCCGGGCATTGGTGGCGCACGCCTTTAATCCCAGCACTTGGGAGGCAGAGGCAGGCGGATCTCTGTGAGTTCGAGGCCAGCCCGGCCTCCAAAACAACTGCCAGGATAGGCTCCAAAGCTACACAGAGAAACCCTGTCTCGAAAAACAAACAAACAAAAAAAAAGAAAAGAAAAGAAAAGATAGAAAAAAGAAAGAAAGAAATGAATAAACAAACAAGCAAGCAAGCAATAGTAGGTCAGGGGTTGGGGGCAAATACAAAATAATCCAAGACAAAGAAAAAAACACCAGGACTCAGGGAAACCACACCATCCAGGAGCTGCTGGACAGGACAAAACATGGCACAGTACCTCGGAAGAAAGCCTAACAATACAGAAACTGCGTTCCTGTGCATCCCGGGAGACATCTGCATCTATGTTTACAGCAGTATCTCTAACAACTGGACCTGAACTAACCATGGAGTGTTGGCGTGAAAAGCAGCAAACTACTGTACTGATGATAAAAGCAAAGAGAGGCAAACACCTGCAGGGTCCAAGGGTTTCACACCTGCTACCTTTAGGTTACTTTCTGAAAGGACAAGATCAAGCACAGAGGAAGCCAAGTGTGGCCAGAGCAACTATGGGCGCTGTGCCCAGTCAAGTGCCCTGCACTTCACTGCACTGATGACAATGCCCTGGCGCTACTAACAGACTTAGAGAAAACTATAAGGGGACACCCAAGAGCCAGCTGCACATGCATTACCAATTACGGAAAAACAGAGAGCTTGACTGAAAAACAAAACAAAACAAAACAAAAAAACACAAAACAAAACAAAACAAAAACTAACTAGGAAGAGGAACACAAAGGGGAATGTAAGCAAAAGGAGATTCAGCACATCAGAAAAACAAATTCTAAAATGCTTTAGGTTTATGCTACTTGTGCTTTATTTCTATGGTTCAATGTATTGCAGGTATCTTACAATTTTTTATTAATATTTAAAGCTCTTAATTATAAAGGATTGTATCCAAAGACAAGGAAGCACTCATTTAATTCTTAAAATTACTTTACTCTGTGTGTGTGCGTGTGTGTGTGTGTGTGTGTGTGTGTGTGTGTGAGAGAGAGAGAGAGAGAGAGAGAGAGAGAGAGAGAGAGAGCACATCTGTGTAGAGATTTAAGAACAACTTTAGGGAATTCATTGACTTTTCCACATGGATCTGAGGGATTGAACTCATGTTGTCAGGCCTGACTGCAAGCTTACCTTTACCCATTGAGCTATCTCACAAACTCAAGAACCATAAATTTTCATCAAGGGAAAATTCTCATCTACATTACTTACTGGATTGTTAGCTCATGCAATCTAAATTTCACAAGCTATTCTTCCTAGCTAGTATTTCATCTTTCTTTTCTTTCTCTTTTTTTAGGTAGTTTTTTGTTTTCGAGCCTAGGGATGGAATAATACAAACATAGTACTATTGGAAACTGAATGATAGAACTAGAAAATTTTTAGAGCAATTTAAAAGTAAGTGGGCTCAATAAAATATCCTTAGAAAACACAAATTATGGAGCTGGAGAGATGCTCAGAGGTTAAAAGCACTGACTGCTCTTCCAGAGGCCCTGAGTTCAATTCCCAGCAACAGCATGGTGGCTCACAACCATCTGTAATGAGATCTGATGCTCTCTTCTGACCTGCAGGCATACATGCAGGCAGAACACTGTATACTTAATAGATAAATAAATCTAAAAAAAGAAAAGAAACCACAAATGAGGAGATTCAACACATGTTTTTCCCATTCATTTCCGGTCTACGTTACAAGGCTAAACACAGTGCACCAGCTCTGTTACGGACTTTACTTGCCATGGTCAACTACCAACAGAGGTCTACATTTACCTTCTAAGATTCCAAATGATGATCCTTGTCCCCTTCTTACCCATAATAGCATCAAGTTCTGCCAGTAATTTCTGTTCCGTAGAAAACAGAGAATGTTCCAGAATTGCTGTTAGGCTTGCTTTTGATTCTGCTAAATTAATCATGTGACGTATGTCTTTAGTTAAAGATTGAAATCAACAAATTTTACACAAGTGTAATATAGAAGCCAATTTCAACAAACTAAAGAGAAAGCAATCCCTAAATTATTTCTAACTCCTAAAGAAAAGCAATGTGATTTCAAATGAACACAAGGAAAGGCAAAGAGTGAGCATGTGGCAGGGCTCAGGGGCAGCCACCTACACCCCAGCTAAATGAGGCTAAGGAAGGAGGATGACTTCAAGGCCACTCACCTCAACTCTGAAAGGGGGAGGAAAAGGGCAAATTCATTATTTCTAACTAACTCAATGATTTATGTCAATGAATTTCCCCAAATCATGTTGCTTTTCACTATTAGGGGAACTTCCAAGCCAGGCCAACAGTCTTTCTTATTAACCCACAATAAGCTTAAAATAAGGAACTATAAGGTAGGCAAAGTGGCTCATGCCTATAATCTCTGCTGCACAGCAGGCTGAGGCGAGTCATCTTCTACTACATACTGAAACCCCGCCTAAGAAAAGAGAGAACTATAGAACAGAGTAAGCTTGTCACTCTGTGGTCCTACAGACCAACCTCACACGTCAGATCAGTGCTCTATTTCTAAATTTCATCTGCAGCCCTGGGAAACAATTAACACAACTCTACACCTTTAGTTCCAGCACTCAGGAAACAGAGCAAGGGGCAGGCAATCGCTGTGATTTTTCAGGACCAGCCAGGGCTACCAAGTGAGAACTTGTTTCAAACCTACCCACCCACTACAACCACAACCTCATTATGTGGAGAGTTCCACAGCAAATTTCCAGTAAAGAAAAAACAAACCCTGAGCTTCAGCACAGGATAAAGGAAGTATATACAGACGTGAATACATATGGATTAAGAAAACAAGAATGGGCTGGGCGTTGGTGGCGCATGCCTTTAATCCCAGCACTCGGGAGGCAGAGGCAGACAGGTCTGAGTTCGAGACCAGCCTGGTCTACAGAGCGAGTTCCAGGGCAGGCTCCAAAGTCACAGAGAAACCCTGTCTCCAAAAACTAAAATCTGGGGGTTGGAGAGTTAGTTCAGTGGTTAAGGGAACTTGTTGCTCTTCTGGAGAGAGTTCGATCCCCAGTACCCAAATGGCAGCTCACAGCCATGTATAACTTTAGTACCAGGGGAAGCAACACCTTCTTCTGACGTCTGCAGATACCACAAATGCATATGGTTCATATCCATAATGGATACAAAATGCTACACACGTAAAATCATTTAAAAAAGAACAACAAAATTTTGGATGAGTGTACTGGCTGGTTTTTTTGTGTCAGCTTGACACAAACTAGAGTCATCAGAGAGGAAGAAGCCTCAGTTGAGGAAATGCCTCCATGAGATCCAACTGTAAGGCATTTTTTTCTTTCATTTTCTTTTTTGGTTTTTCGAAACAGGGTTCCCTGTGTAGCTTTGGAGCCTATCCTGGCACTCACTCTGGAGACCAGGCTGGCCTCGAACTCAGAGATCCACCTGCCTCTGCCTCCCGAGTGCTGGGATTAAAGGCGTGCGCCACCAACGTCCGGCTGTAAGGCATTCTTTCAATTAGTGATCAACGGAGGAGGGCCCAGCCCAGAGTGGGTGGTGCCATCCCTGGGCTGGTGGTCCTATAAGAAAACAGACTGACAAGCCATGGGAAGCCAGCCAGTAAGCGGTGTCCCTCCATGGTCTCTGCATCAGCTCCTGCCTCCAGGTTCCTTCCCTGTTTGAGTTTGTCCTTACTCCCTTCAATGACGAACAGCAAACCCCTTTCTCCCCAGCTTACTTTTGGTCATGATGTTTGGTCACAGCAACAGAAACCCTCACTAGGACAATGGGCATGGTGCTGTGTCCTCTTAACTCCAGCTTTTGGGTGGACAGGATGGAAAATCAGTAGTTTGGAGGCAAACCTGGCTAACATGGAGGGACTCTTTCTAAAACCAAAGACAGGGCAAGACAAGAATTGAAGAAGATAAAAAGGAGTGTTCCAGATTGTTTAAAGTTTCTCTGCAGCATTCATTCCAAAATCAAAAGGATATGGTGTTTGTTGAATGTGACTATAGGGACAACTACATGTTCCGCCTTTATGACTTCCAGGTAGGTCTGAGACAAGAATCCCACACTCATGGTTTCTCCATTTTTGGTAAAAACGATTGCATCTTTTCCCAGTCTCATAGAACCTGACTTGAAGCCATTCCCATACAATCCAACCGGGACATGACCATTCACGGTGACTTTGTCACTGAAGCCAAAGCTAAAAGGAAAAGGAAGATAAACAATAAATACTCATTCTTTCATTTTTAAAGCCCCTTTAAAATTGAATGACTGTTATACCAAGTAAAAGCCTGGATCCAATATGTCGATCCCACCTACCCGGGAGTAAAATCTAGAGCAGGTTTGATATATTATGTGTTCACACCTCTGCTCATCACCTGGGAATGCATGACCAAATGTCTGCCTTCAACCCTAACTAGGCCTACAACCCTTCAGGTTTCAGGCCACAGAGCGCTTCCTCTAGACATTTTCTCCTATGGCATGATTAATGATAGGGTCAATTGCCTTTTTGGCAGCATAAGGAACACTTAGAGACAACAGAAGGCCTCTGCTTCTGAATTCTCCCTTGCTCTGTGCTGCTCACTTTAGTGCCCAGTGCAGACACTGCTTACTGACTCTGCAGGCTCAGACTGCATCAATTATTTTATGCCTCTTCATCCTCTCAATCTCTTTAAAGACAACTCCCCATCTCCCATGGAAAATTCTACTAGAAACAGAAGATAAGCCTAATTGATAGCAGAGTAAAAATACGATCTGTGTGCTACACCCCTAAAGGAATGCTGGGGTTAGGTAAGGCAGACAAGGGAGGAGTGATATGAATGGTAGGCCTGCCTAATAACTTAGTTGTAGAAAATAAGGAAAGTCCCAATTACGCTGCGGATACCCATTTCATGTTTTAAAAACAAAAATTAAGGACATGGGATGGTATTTTGTATGACACATGTAAATTATCATCTTCTGAAGTATAACATGTTTCTTACACACCTTAGCATTTTGTGTAACTTATCTGCAGTCATCCCGTTCCCATTGTCAGTGAAAGTCAAGCATATCCGGTCATTGATGACTGTTTTATCAATCCAGATCTGTTTCGCATTCACATCAGGATCATAAGCATTGTCTGGAAGACAAAGGGTTTTGAGAAATTCTGAGTCTGCAATTTAAAGAAGCCATTCATTAGAACAATGCTCTAACAAGCAACAGAATACACTATTCCTTTAAGAGCTCTAACTGTTAGGCATTCCTAAGGTTTGAAAACACAAAACTAAACTGCCTCCATTAACTGTATCAGAATCAGTTCTCTCCAAGCCCTTCACATCACACAGGGAATAGACTGGCAACCACTACACTGAAGTGAAACCCCGTTACTCACAAAGATGATTAAAAGCAGCTTGTCTGTCTATCATATGGGAAACTGAGAACTGAGTGTCAAAGCTCACTAAATAAGAGTTCAGAATGAGAAGGCAGGATCCCTTTCTCCTAAGCTACACACAGATGGAAGGCTCAGCTCCTCCCCAACCTTACAGCTCCATCACCGTGCACTTCCCACTGTAAACCTTTAACATCTTGTTTATATACTCATTTCTCAGAACAGGCACAATAAAGGACTGTTAAAAATGAAAAATATTTACCTTATCGGTAAAAAAACCAATATGTGACTTATCCAAGATCCATCTGAACAGCCCCTAATAGAAATATACTTTGAAGTATTGATCAGAAATAACAGCTTTCTGGATTTGGGACCCTTTTCCTCACACTAGCTGGCCTTATCCAGCTTTAGTACAAGGGGAGGGGCCTAGTCTCACTGCAACTTGATATGCCATGTCTGGTTGACATCCATGGGAGACTTGGCCTTTTCTGAATAGAAACTGAGGAGGAGTGGAGGGATGGGGGGCTGGGAAGAGAGAAGGGAAGGAAAACTTCTGTCAGGATGTAAAAAATTATAAAAAAATCATTTTAAAAAATGGCTTTTAAACTATCCTTCTATAAAGCAGTTTACAATTACTCTTTTCCGACCACTTGAGGAAAGATAAAAAAGAATACTTGCAGTGTTGTAGCACATCCAGTGCAGAGTGGGGAGAAGAAAAACACAACCATCTGAGTGCTTGTTGGCTCTGACTGTATAAAAAAGCTTAGTATTCTACCAAAGGAAATGCTCCTGCAAGCTGGGAAGGGTGCTCACCCTGCAAACCCAGCTCTAGAGAAACTGAGGACCAAGACTTACTGGGAGTTCGAGGCCAGCCTGGGCTATAGAGTGAGACCCTTCCTTAATAAACAAAAACTCAAAAGTCCCTCCTCCTCCCATATCTCAGGTAGGACCTTCCTTTGATAAAGATCCCATTGTAAAATGTACAAAGAAACTCCCAAGAATAACATTTCTCCCTTTAAAACATCTCCCTAAATTGGAAAAACAAAACAAACTATTCCTGCTCATTAATTTCCTAAGAAAAATCATGACCTCATGATGCAAATCTGAACACAACTTATATATTGTCTCATGCTCATTAAATAATTAAGGTATGTTATATTCCTGGTCCTCATCATTCCCCAGAGGAAACAAGAAACTACCATATATTTAACATATTAATTCTAACACCTGACAGAGGAACCCACTGTTACACAGTGTGAAGCAAAATTCTATTTTTAAATTTCATAACCCAGTAAAAATATTTGCAATTTAAGCGCTTTGTAAACTTAGCAAATTAAGAACTAAAAGCTATGAACACACTTAGGTAGTATGGGGAAGGTGAGGAGTAATCCACCTGATATGAACTTAAACAACAGTTAAGTCAGCTTTTACACTAATGTTATTCAGGATGTATTTTAAAAAGTATAGCTACATATTACTTTTCAGACGTTATTAAATTATAATTACAATTAACAGACAACATATGAAATGTCAATTTACATACCTATTAATTCAGCAACTGCACTGAATGGCCAAGTATGACTAGTGGAATTTGTATGTAAAAACTTCGGGCAAAGCTGAAACAAATCAACAATTCATATAATTTAATGCAGCCCTTAATTATGAGCACAAGATCCAATATACGTTGTCTCTGTGTTAAACAAACACTGAAACCAAATTTAAAAAGGACTTAGTTGCTTGTTCCAAGAAGATAAAACCTAGACAGCAGCTTCCTGGAAGATAAGGCTGGGAACAACTCTAGCTTACACATCAAGACCTGCTGAAAACCTTGTTTCCTTATGGTCACAGGCCACAGCTTTCCTGATTGCCTCCCTTGTAAGACCCATTTTTAAACGGCACAGCCAAGGCCCTAAAGCCTGACAAACATTATTTCCTAAATCTTGATGCCTTGAGACAAGATTTTGCCAAGAGGGTCTCTGGCCATTATTGTACTAAGTAGGTCTAATAACCTCCCTAAACTTGCTGGAGACCTCTTAGAGAGTTCACATTGACACTCTTGAGTTGGCTGCATTATGTATTCCAAGTTTATTGCAGTTGAACATTGGCCTGGTGTGTATCCATGACTTTTTTTCAATTTCCAAAGTTTTGAAGTATGACTTTACTCTCAATAATAGATATGAAGGAGAGGCCAATCAACCCTATGATACAGGAAATTTAAACCTTGAGCACTGTAGGCACATAGATGCACATATGTAAGTACTTTTTTTTTTTTTTTAAAGGCAGGGTGTGGGCTGGAGAGATGGCTCAGTGGTTAAGAGCACTCACTGCTCTTCCAAAGGACATGAGTTCAATTCCCAGCACTCTCATGGTAGCTCACAGCTGTCTGATGCTATCTTGTGGTGTACAGATGTACATGCAAAGTACTCATATAGATAAAAAATAAAATAAAATCTGGGCATGCGGAATACACCTTTAATCCCAGCACTCGAGAGGCACAGGCAGGTGGATCTCTGTGAGTTTGATGCCAGCTCGGTCTACAGAGAGTGTCTACAGAGTGTTCCAGGGCAGCCAGAGCTACATAGAGACATTCTGGGGGTGGGGGGCAGGGTTGTGTATCCTAGGATAGCCTTGAACTCACCATAAATTTCTGATCCTGTGGCCTCCACCTCCCCAACACAAGAGGCTGAGGATGTAGCTCAATAGCCAGAATGCTTGCCTAACATGAATAAAGCCCTGGGCTTAACCCCCAGCACCCCTATAAAAACTGGGCATGGTAACCAAGAGCCTGTAACTCCATCACTTGGGAATCATTGTATCAGAAACTTAAGGTTATCCTTATCAACTTTAAGTTGGGAGGCCAGCATGGGCTGCTGGAGATCAGTCTCAAAAAATACAGACAAATAAAAACCTAGGCAACTACAGACATCAGCTCCCTACAGAAACTGGTAAGGCAAGCTGTGGACTCCAAGGACAATCAAAACCAGGCAGATCCACAATAGCAAGTCAACAAGCAGCCTACAAACAAACCCTATACATAAGGTGCCAAGATCATTCGATAGGAAAAGGCCTTTAAAAAAAAATGGTACTGGGGAAACCAAATTTCTACATCACAACACATAGGAATTAAGTCGAAATGGATCAAAACCTAACATAACAGATAAAACTGTTAGACTAGTCGATTCATGACATTAGATTTGGAAATTATTTCTTGAATATAACAAAAATATATATAAATCAAACTATATCAAAAGGACACTGGCAACAAAAAACAAAACATCTAAAACATAGCTCTCACCTCAGAGGGGTAAGAGGCAGTTCACTGCAGAGCCAAATATAAGTGACCATGGCCTGGAACACAGATTGTCCCAGTGTGGTAATAGTCTGATAAACTACTTGTAATAGCAGAACAAGAAAGACACACATCAAGACCTTTGGGTCCATCAGGCTGCGGATACAGTGAAGCAGGATAGAAAAAGCAGTGCTTCAGCCTCAGCTGCTTCCAACAGCAGTCCTTGACCCTTCGGCTGGATGGAAACTAGGGGTCTATTTGTTCATTTCAAGTGATTTACCTAATGGTCACAAAGACGTTAATTCACAGAGGAGGGCAATAAATGGCTATTAAGGGGGCCAAAGGTGTCCTAAGGGAACTTGGCTCTAGACTTGCAGCATCCCAACCTCTCCACACCACTAATGTCAACCGGGCTCTGCAGTCCCTGCTTCCTAGGAAATCTCACAACACAAGGACAGTGAAAACCCTGGAGGCATACACTAGCAGCAGAGGACTGGCCCAACAGCTACAAGCATCCTCAGGTTTATTACACCCCCACCAAGTCCCATCCCTTGAGTCAAGGGTTCTCTGTGTAGCCCTGGATGGCCTCCAACTCAGAGATCCACCTGCCTCTGCCTCTGGAGTACTGGGACAAAGGTCATGGGCCACCACATCCGGGTCCCTGGGTTCCATCTTAGCACCAAAGAAAAGCAAAAACTAAAAGTTCAACTCACAGAATTCAACTGAGATTAAACCAGAGCTTAGACCCCACTGGAACCCACATTGGTCTGCTCCTAACCATCTGTAGTTCCAACCCTAAGCAAGTCAATGCCCCATTTCTGGCTCCCGAAGGCATCTGCATGAACATATGTTTAAAAATAAATCTTTCCGACAGCTGCCCGAGTTCTGCCGGCCACGTGGGTGGCCGAAATAACACACAGAGACTTATATTAGGTACAATGCTGCTGGCCAATGACTAGATTTCTTATCTGATAGATCAGTCTTAATTATCAACCATAATCATTAATCTATGTATTTTATAAACTTGTCTTATTGAGGACGCTGGTGGCAAGAGTCCTGTCTTGCTGGGCTCACATGGAGACTCTACAGGGAGGAGGAGGAAGAGAGCAACTTCCTGTTTGTCCCTGCTTATATTCTGAGTCTGCCTGCTATGTCACTTCCTGCCTGGATCACAAGACTTTACTACATTTCCCAGAATCCTCCTTGACTCCTAGTCCCACTTAACTTGCTGCCTCATTGGCCGAGCAGTGCTTTATTCAACAACCAATAAGATAAACATACGCAAGAAGGACGTCCCCCATTGCATTTGCATACACACATATTAAAAAAGAACTCTCAAGGGAAGTTAGGTGTGATGACCCACACCTTTAATCCCAGCACTTGGGAGGCAGAGATCTCTGTGAGTCAGAGGCCATCGTCGTCTATGTAGCAAGTTCCAGGCCTGGTGAGGCTATGGGGCTATAAACTGAGACCCTGTTTCAAATAGAGAAAGACAATGAAGGCTGTCAGGGATGTGAAGAAACTGGCACTTTTGTGCTCTGTTGTATCAAAATAGTCAGTAGCTGGCAACGGCTCGGCAGGTAGAGACTGCCTGGAGTCTAGCCTGAAGACCCTAGTTCAGTCAATCCCTGGGACCACAGCGGAGCAGAGAACTGACTCCTAAAAATTGTCCTCTGAACTCCACACAGGGAAAGCCACACAGGGAAGGAATATCCTTGGAAATGCTTGCCAGATAACATTAAACCTTCACAAAAGACTGCTAAAATCACAGCCTCCTATTAGATAAAAACAGTTCTGCCATGTCGCCTATCCAGAAGCTCACTGACTACCCTTGAGCTGACAGGACCCTTGCTCCTGGTCCTTGCAGCCAAAGACAACTGTTCACAACACAACCCTTTCCCGTTGACTTTTTAGCATGCTTGTCTTCCTTGGCCTCACTATGTCCATAAACGGTTACTAAACTCTGCTTGCAATTCCTTGCCACTGTGATCTGCTGTTCTGGAATACCATTGTATGTTATTTAGGCTGACATTTGCTGGGAATGTAAAATGTACAGCTTCCAGGGAACATGGTATGGTGGTTCCTCAAAAACCTAAAACAATCCTGTATGGGCAACTCATCATTCAGAATGGAACTCTGGGTACAAAAGAAACTAAGTGCCTTGTCCTTTAAAGTCACATGTCCAATTCCCTATGTCAGGATGAGGTCATGAGGGCAGGCCCAGCTTGTGATGTCAGTCACTAGACAAGTGTTCACTAAGGGAGGAAGTCCAAGACACTACCCAGCCAAGTACTCCTAACTGATAAATGCTGGAAAAAGACTTCTATGTCCTTTAGAAAGTGATCAGGATATATATATATATAGAAAAAAAAAAAACAAACAAAATATACACCAACGACTAACCAGGGAAAATAAAAGGCTGTATAGAAAATGCAATCACAGCACAACAGCAGGCATATCTGAAAAGAAAAGAGCAACTCCAACAAGAGAAAGTAAATAAAGGCAGCATGCATTTCATGGGAGCAGTGTGTCAGCCTGTGCCAGCTTGACACACAGGACCTCTCTGGTGGAGAGAACACAACAAACAGCAACCAATGGTCTGAGCATTTCACTTACAACTAGAGAAGATGGAAACAATTATTTTTTTTCTCTGCACTCCACATTCTAAAAGGTCTATCAAGAGCGTTTGAGATGGCATAATTCCCTAGCATGTCCAAGGACTTGGATTGGGGGGGAGGGTGAGTATTTCTAAATAAAGTCTGCATACGTTAAGGCTGATAACTACAAAGCCCATTCATCTTTAGATTCTCTCCTAACCCAAGGATCTCACAGTTATAGGAAAATTAATGCACATGGTATCCCCCCGATAGGACTATGGAAACTAACATTTATTTCATACATCACAGAATTTTTTTCCAACCATTTTGAGTGCTCATTTTTAGATGACAGACCATACAAAAACAGGTGCCAGGCTGGATCTGGTTCGTAAGTTATACTATACCAACTAGTCATGAACCAAAAGCAGACAGTCGAAAAAAATTCTGAGGTTCCAAGAGCCTGTGCCAAATTAGCCCTCTAACCACTGCCACACCCAGGGTCAGCTAGTAATTATGCACTTTACTACAGTGCTACAGTGGGTCTCAAGAACACTCCATGGGGCAACACTGCCAACTTTAAGGAATTTTGTTTGCTTGCTTCATTTCAATCTTTCTTTTCGAGAAACGGTTACTATGTTACTCTGACTGGACTGTAACTCATCTATGCACATCAAGATAGCCTGAAACTTAAAAGAGTTCACAGAGCTTTGCCTCTTCCTCACCCACCACCACCTCACTATTCAGGGCAATTTATATCCCTGGTCCAGGACCTTGGCCACCCATAATTTACACAGAATAATTTCTTTTCTTCCTTTTTTAAAAAAATATTTATTTTTTATGTATGAGTGCTCTAACTGCACGTACACCTTTATGAAGAAGACAGCATCAGATCCCACTAGAGATGGTTGTGAGCCTTGGTGTGATTGCTGGGAGTCGAACTCAGGACCTCTCAACAGCCAGTGCTCTTAAAGGTTGAGCCATCTCTCCAGGCCTCAGACAGAATAATTTCTACTATTTCCCTGGGAACAACTCTTGGCTCTAAGAGTGGTGAGTGTCAGATTAACCCAGTTGGGGAGCAGAATGCTTAAACCCCAGTGGAAAGAAAAAATAAAGTTAGCCGGGCGTTCGTGGAGCACACCTTTGATTCCAGCACTCAGGAGGTAGAGGCAGGCAGATCTCTATGAGTTCAAGGCCAGCCTGGTCTACAGAGAGAATTCCAGGACAGCCTCCAAAACAATACAGAGAAACCCTGTCTCGAAAAACCAAAAAAAAAAAAAAAAAAAAGAAAAAAGAAAGAAAGAAAGAAAAAAAAAAGGAATAGTTACTCTCTTTTAACTACTAAAGACCATTTCATTAAACAAACTATGTAACTAAAGGTCCTTAACTTGGAAGATGTAATCAAAAGAAAGGGGATTAAGCAAGAATGGCCAAACTATGGACTCCAGAAAAATGACTTGGTGGTAAGAGCACCTACTGCCCTATAGAGGACCAGGGTTCAGTTTCCAGTACCCCACGAGGCAACTCACTCCCTCAGTAAGTGAAGGGACCTGAGTCCCTCCTGGTCTCCAGGCACAGGGGTGGGTAACATACATACACACGTGCAAGCAAAGCACTCATGCACATAAATAAATGTGGAGAAAAATGGGCAATCTGTACGAACGGGCAATTAGAACACAACAACAACAACAACAACAAAACAGATGTGAAGAATGATAACTTCACAAACGGGCAGGGGCAACAAAGCCAGGTAACACCTCACTCCCACTTGGGACCATCCCATCCCGCCTGAGAGCACTGCAGGGCGAGCATGGCCAAATGAATGGACCGGGCGGGGAGAGGGAGGGAGGGTAGGAAGGAGGGAGGGCCGCAGATGCCTCCTTCTTGTGCCAGCGACAACCTCTGGAAACCCGTACGCTCAGCGATGAAATCTAACACCGAGAGCCTATTTTTTTTTATTTTATTTTTGGAGGCAGGGCTTCCCCGTGCCCTCGAGGATCTGCGGGCTCCGCTGGCCCGAGCGCGGGGATCCCGGGCAG